AAAAAAAAAAACGTTATAGTCTTATAGTGTTGTGAATATGTTACTTTTGGATAGTTAAATTGATTTGTGCCTCAGAATTAATTATTATCTATTTTTTTCTTAAAAGAAACTGTTTTTAGGAATTGTTTACACAATAAATTTTGTTTATAATATTCTTAAATCATATATGCCAAGTATTAACGCCTGTGGAATTTATATTTTTCCAACACTGTTTACCGGATAAATTCATGAAAGTAATAATGATATACTCATATGATACGTATCATTGCTTCAAAAAAATTAAAGTTACTGTACGACCGGCTGTGGAAGAATAGTACAAAATGTAAAATAGTGGAGTGTGAGGGCGTGGGGCAGCTTCGTGCAGTGAGGGATAGGGAGGAGGCTTGTGGAGGGGCTTGTAAAAATTATGCGGTATCGTGGAAGTTCTAGTGTGGTTGTGGGGGGAGGGGGTCGAACTGTTTTCATATAAGAGAAAAATAGCTTATTACCTCCGTATTTCGAAGGGAAGGAATCCCGTGCGTGTCGGTGAAGAGTTATTTCAAATAAAATTTTTGTGGTGGCTGTGATCAAGCGTGGAGGAAGTGTGAAAAAAAATAGGCTAGCATGCACATAAGACGTCTGTATAATATAGATAAATTATATTAATAGATGTACATAAATACTACAAAAGTTGTAAGCTGCATAACTGTGTGTCAGAGGATGCACTTACAGGTATACTGAAGAGCACAAATAAACAGAATATGCATTGTATGCCTAGAATGCGTGTTAAGAAAAAAGAGACGGAAAAAATATTACACCTGCACCCATGAGTATGACTTTATTCTTGAGTTACTAATTTAAACTTTCAAGCTTATACTTATTAAATTGTAGTGAAGATAACTTAAGTAGCGGCTCGTGCTTGCTTCGTGATCGGGGAAAGTGCGCTGGTGCCAACTCAATTCGTTATCGCCAAGAGGGACGCCTCGAGGCGGGGAGGCATGCATTACAGCTACGGCTTGCGTTGGCTGAGGTGTACTCATGCGCCCTGTCACGTTATGACTTGTGGCACGCGTGAAGATAGCATACACAAATATTTGGCCATTTTTTTTCTTCTTCGCTATGCCCGTTACCCACAATGCGGACGCTATTTTACCATGAATGCACGCACGCTCATTTTCCATGTTGCCCATACAAACAAATTAGTGCCCTAACAATGCAGGTAGACACATACAGGAAAATACATTTTTCAAGTAATTATTCTTATTCATAGGTCATACGCCATAAATATGCTAAATGATGCATACAAAAATATCAAAGAAGACCTAAGGAAACTTGAGGTGCTTGTTACCTGAAACAATGATCAGGTTATATTCTTTATGAACAAGAAGACCATAGCATACATGAGTCATTTGAATACATAACTTATAAATTTGGGTCTCAACGTGTGGAAAATTACGCTGTTGGGGTGGGCAGCCCCAGACATCTTGCGTTCGCATGGTTGGGCTGCCTAGCTTAGCACATTCTATCAGTGGCACGCATTTATTGCGTTTGTGGGTGCGCTTCACCTGCTTTTTTTCCTGGGATATGACTATATCTGATTAAATAATTATTTTCTCTCTGTTAACTTACCTTGAATAATTTTAGGAGGACATGTGCATCAAAGCCAGGACATGACAAATTCATTCAATTTAATTAAAAAAAAGCTTGAAAAATTTGATTTCGTCCCAAACAACAGTGTATCCCAAGAGCTCTTAAGATAGAAAGATACATTTGATAGATACCTCATCTGAAGATAAGATTAAAAATTTGAGAGATAGAAAGATAGAGTTAATTGATACTTTATATAAAATAAGATTAAAGATTTGAGAGATAGTAAGATAAATTTTACTGATACCTCACCTAATGATGAGCTTAAAGATTTGAAAAATAAAAATTTAGATTCGATTTCAAAGACGTACAAGATATAAAAGATAGCCTAAAGAAATAAATAGATAGCTTACATAAGAAAATGGCACATGCAAATCATTAACTTAAGAAAGAACTTATGAAAAAAACTTGTCAAAGCATTCAATCTACAAATCTTATAAACTTACAAAATAAAATCTTAGAAGCCTTATAGAAAGATATTGAGGAAATCAAGAAGCTTATAGAACAAGAGAGGTACCAGCGGAGCTCCTTGATGTCCATGAGATTTGAGGCTGTTGCCTTTTAACATAAAGTGGCCTTGAAAAAAGAGAGAGAAGATAACAGGAGGGCCCAAGAGGCACTTAAAACTGAGTTTGAAAAACGTTAAGCTGATCAAAAAAGGAAGACGAAGGTTCTTGAGCAAGAACTGGCCAGGAGTTGAATACAAAAGGTAAAAAAATTTACTACATCTGCCCTGGGGCCTATCTTGTGTAAACGATTAATTAACTTAAACCCTGACTTCATTAATAGTTTGCTGATGTTTGAACGCGGTACACCTAATGATGGTCTAAAGATAAAAGTCGTCGATAAAGATAGTCTAGGTTGCTTTAAGTATTCCCTTACAAATATAACTGAACTAGAATTATTCTTAAAACAATTATAGTCAGAATTCAAAAGTAAAAAACTACTTTACGCAATTGGTTCAAAATTAAAAGCTACTATGAACATTACTCAAGAAAAAGGAGACGAAGATAAGGAGCAGGGCCTAAACATAATACTAGATAGATTGTTCCTAGATTACCAAAATAGAGTATATCACATTACGGACCCTTTGATAATGATACAAAAAATTAAGGATATGAAAAGAAGTGATTTAAAAATGAACGCATTTTAAATACGTAACTAATTTCACTCCGTTACTTAAGACAATCTTATTTATCAGTACTTAAGACAATATATCCTGAAATGGAAGGCTGAAGGTTTACTCCTACAATTAACAGCTCGTGCTGGAGGAAGCCAAGTTGGGGTAAACACAGGATCGAGTCGAGGTTGGACCGGCGCAGGGCCAAGCCGAAGTGGGGTAGGCTCTAGACTAGCTGCCACCGCAACTGCTGCAAATGCAGCCACTGTCAGCATCCTTTGTTATGAGTGCAACGAAAATGGGTATTATTCGAGAAACTGTTCTAAGAAAGGGCAGAATCTGAAACGCTGCTACACCTGTCAACGGTTCGTTTAACGGTCACATTCGGAGGTGCAAAGGTAACTCAAATCAAACTGATAAATAGAATTTTAAACGCATTTGAAAGAGTTGGTGTAGAGAACACTTAATAAAGTGAATTTGAGAAAAGTATTGAAGATAGATTAATTGATAATCGTAAAGAACTTACGATTGGTGAGATCTCAGAGGCTCAAAGTCCGTTTACAGAGAAGTATAAAATATTTAAAAGAAATAACAGGGCCATGCTCTAGCATGTAAGATTTGGATATGCATCAGTGGAACATCGCAAGGCACTGAAAAGAAAGTATCTTGACAGTAAGGACTTAAATAAAGCCGTGTTTGACATTTTCATTGCAACATTTGAAGTGTGCCAAATGGCCAAAATCAAAAGACTACTGCTTAATATCAGAAGAGACGGCAATTAAACCATTAAAAGTAGTTCACGCTGACTCAATGAGACCGATGATAAGTCTAGCCACCCATCTCTCATATACGTATACAAACATTATACTATAAAAGAACTGTCACAAAACATATAAATTGACCACACTAAGTAATGCAAAGAGGGTAAAATGCAATACTTTTTTTGAGAACTGGCTGTGATATACAAAAAACGTTGGTGTCAGCAGGTATTACGCTAAAACAAGTTGTCTCAACACTGGAATTAACTAGTCTAAGAACGTAATTTTATTGGTTTTTAGAAAATGACAATCTATAGTTGTCACTAGCATGTAGTAGAAGACCTTACCCGATGCAGAAGCTCAGCAAATTTCGTGGAATAATCATTGTATCGGCCTTGAATGTAGTAATAAAAAGTTATATGATCTGAATAATTCTAAATGATTGGTTACACAACTTGAAGGAAAAATTTTTTTAATGCCAGTTCACATATTTTTCATGTAGAGTTTCGTTAAGCCACAGATTCCCGCGCACTTTTAAAAATTGATGCCAGATAATTTATAATAGCTTATAAGATAGCTTATGTGTCAATATTTATTTACTGAATATAACATTGATTACGCGTTATTATCAAATCACTAACAATGTAAAAGCATTCCACATACCTGGACCGAATTTTAAGATACTCGGATTTTCATTGACTTAAAACAACAAATGTATATGCTATTTTTGAGCTGCTTAATTAGTTCTAAACAATTATATGAATAACAATAATAATAGTTAATATAATAAAAGAAATAATAATAACAATAATAACAACATTATTAATTATAATAATGTTAGTAGTGCTAATAACAATAACAATATCAACAGTATTAAGAATAATAACCAAAACAAAACTATAATTTTTCGTGTATTAATGGCAATGAATGTACATGTAAGAGTAACCAAGTTGACCAATCAATTGCATTGAAGAAAAAAAACATCGAAGAGCTGGGTTTGAAGCTAGAACTGCAAAAAGCAAGGATTAAGTATGACCATTAGCTTGTTCAGCTATTGTGAGCGTACTCCCAAAATATATGGAAGTAACATATGTTCATCGGAAATCTTTGGAGTTTAAACTATAATTGATAAGTCTTACAACGACTTCAAGTATACAAAGTTTTGAAAATAATTTTAAATGTTTCAAATTACTTGTAAGGTTAAAGTGAGTTACTCAATAAGGCGTCTAGATACTATAAAAAGCGTTGAGCAAAAAAAAACTTGTCAGTTGTCGCTTGATTTTGCTTCGACATACGCTTAAGGGTACCTGTTCTTGACATTTTCACTTAATTTTTTGTCGTAGGCACACATGTACTTTACCTCTTTCATGTGTATTTAAAATACGCCTACATGCACATTTTTAAGTGAATCCACTTTTCTTCTAGTAGACACATACCCCTACCATGCTTCTCGGTTAAAAATAAATGTGTGCCTGGTTCAACTGCTTGGCCAGGACATGGCACTGCAATCAGTGGAAAAAGTGGGCGCACCCCATAGCATTGCAGTCAGCAATCTTTTTACTACTTTCCATTTTGGACTTATATAAAATAATTAAAAAATACCTGTATATTTTTAAGAAATGTACCAACAATTTTTTTTCCTGTTCATATTGCTTAATATGCATGCTTGACGTTTTCAGAAATCGTTATTCACCTTTGAGATTATCCTGAGTATAAAAAGAAATCATCATGAAGCTACATGAATATTATTTATTAGTTTTACATTTCAAAAAGTATTTTTCGAGGTTTTAGTTAACTACTAAGATTTTTTGGTTGTCTAAGACTACATTTATGTGAGAGTTTGAGATAATTACAATAATCGTATTTTAGTTCTACATTTGAAAGAATATTTATATCTAAATGTTATGGCGTATTTTTCTATTAAAAAGTTATGAGTATAACACTAAAAAAGAATTCCAGCTACCAGTAATAATGATAAATCATATTCTTTTAGGTGTGGCAAGATACTCCAGAGTTATTGCGATCTCTCTTAGAACATTTGTTTGAGCTTATAGCAGATTCTAGTGAAAAACGTACTAATCTTAGACTTATGAGAGATTTGCAGTTAGTACAAAAACTGTTACACATTTTAAGCTATGTTAAACAAAACGCAACCAGACAAGTTCTTTTAACTTTACTTGGTATGTTATTAAGTCAACCAAGATCAGATGACTTATTATTGTGAGTATGCATTAGTTTATTTAATTATAAAAACTTTTAAGTACGAGATCATTAATGTGACTTTGTTACTTGTTTTTAGAATATTTTTTGTAATGATGCTCAGATTTTTAGGGTTTTAAGTACATTATGACTAAATTTTAACTATGTTTTACTGTAGCAAAGATTGCCTCTTGGACCTCATAGCAAGTTCTGCTAGTAGTTAAGAACTGAATTAACTTTTTTTTACAAATTCAACTTTTTTCCGTTTGTGCTTCAAGGTTTCATAAAATCACTTTATACGTACTCACATTATCGTAAACTTGCTTAAAATATAAACCCATGCAATTGCATCTGTAGAGTTTTATGTAGTGTCAACACATACATTTCTTACACAGTTTTTCTTTTGACTTTTTTTAAAACTAATAGTATAATATTTACCTACTTATTGATGCAAGTTATATCAAAGACTTTCATACGCCGAGAGAACAAGGGATAAAGCATGATGGCCATTACGGTGATGTAAGTGTAAGTATACCTTTAGTATAAAACTAACGGATGCATACTTAGACTTTTTGGTAATCGACCTCTTTTCACGTGCGAATGACGTATCTTCAAGTATTTTCGGTATAAAGGGTAGCAGCAACGTTTCTCGGGTGAAGCACCTCGGTTGGTTACTTGAGCTGTGCTCTAAACATCCAAGGTCCTTGAAAATGACTTAATCCTATGTGACCTCTTTGTGATAGTATAAAATCCCTTACCAAGACTGTGTGGCTGTACTACTACTCTGACCTAGTCTAACCATGTGCCCGTAGAAGAGAATAAAGGTGTGGAAATTTCCAAAAATTTTGATTGGGCTTATTCATGGATCAGGTGATTGCGAGTCTTCATTTTACTGTAAGTGTGATCAAAAGAATTAGTATCGACACACATTACCCATAGAAAATCTTTGTTAGAAACACATGGACCTAGTTAAAAGCTCTTTAGAACGTCATATTAACTAATCAGGATTTTATTTCATTGCAATCTATATCATATAAGCTTTGTCCTCCTTTTAGACGAAAATCTCATTGTCGTGCTTTCACGCGTAGGTATTTAGCCACGTTACTTAGCTATATGATTGGTTTTCAAGAAAACTTTGTGGACTCGAGGAGACAACGTATCGTACAGACTGATAGTTAAAGCATATTTCAAGCCAGGGCAAAGCGCTGAAAACGCAACATCCTAGTAGGATTTTTTGCCTTGATTACAAAGTCTCCAGCAATAGAAGACTTGAAGGTTACGACAAGAGATTTAAAGACGAGGACTGTTCCAGCTTAAGGACCTGAAGGGCCTCAACCATAATTTTAATCTATGCTCTTGCTTAGTATTACCAGGACGACTTCTAGAAAATCACTGCACAATCGCTGCAAGGCCAGCAGCATAAGTAGGGCGTGTACAATGTTAATCGCTGGCTAATTGGAAGACGTTTACCCACCCGTGACTTTGATTCCACCACTTTTGCGCGCAAGGCCACAAAAAACGTACTCTCGGATCAAAGTCCATTAATGGACATCATCAATTGTAGGAAGCGCTGATTGTTGTCAAAATTTTTCCACTCAGATGTCATATCAGACACGGATGCAGTGACCTCCGCACTAGTGTTAAGATACCAGGATCTTTCGTCCCATTATCCACACGCCCCATATCAGTCTCCTTCTGTAAGCTCCCAACAACTGAGAACGACTCCAAGACACCATTTGTTGACATTTTAGGGTAGACAAGCTCACTAAGACCACGATTTGGATCATGATGTCCCACGCGTGAACTAGATTAGAACTAGACCCGATTAGCCTCCACACCACACTCCAGCTCGAATCGTCAAGCACCTACACAACATTCATCCTTTGCCCTCAAATGAACAATGGTCGCTATGCAGCTTAAGTTAAATAATTGATGACACAAAGAGCAATTCCACAGGGCCATTGTTATAACTCATGAGCATTTTTTGTTTTGAGCTAGTTATCAGTTAAGTGGTACGTAGAAACCCAACAGTCAGTTAAAAGCCATCATTAAATACAAAAAAGCTAGTGGGCCCAACACTATACTTCCTGTGCACAAATTTTTGTACACAAAATATCGTGTACAAGCTAATAAATAACGATCACAAAGTATTTGAAAAACACTTTTTCATGCACAGTATTTGTGCCAAAGTTGGAAAAAATTTTGTTTCCATACAATATTGGATCTTGATACGATGTGCGCGAAATTTACAATGATTTAGGCTTTAGAGTATATTTACCTGGAAGGAGCCTGCAATGCTGAGAGAGCGTCTTCGTCACACCAGAGAAAATAGTTGCATGCTCTTTCTCTTTCTCTCTCTCTCTCTCTCTCTCTCTCTCTCTCTCTAACTCACCTATGATTGGTCGAGAGGTTGTGGCGTCAAGAGGTAAGGAGAGGGGGTACGAATGTGAATTCTACTCTTCTGCTTCTGCTGACAAGCAGCGAAAGAGTAAGCCATAAATGGCAGAGTTATACTTGTCAACAGAAGCAGAATAGTAGAATTCACATTCGTACCCCCTTCGCTTACCTCTTGATGCCACAACCACTCGACCAATCATAGGTAAGTTAAAGAGAGAGAGCATGCAACTTTTCTCTCTGGTATGATGATAACGCTCTCTCAACATTGCATGCTCCCTCCAGGTATATATGCTTTAAGATTTAGGCAAAAATATTGTGCACAAAAAAATATTTATAAAATATTTTGTGGTCCTTATTCGTTAACTTTTGTGAGATGTTTCGTGTGCAAAAATTTGTGCACAACAAAAATGCGCACAATCTTTGTGTACATTGGACATAGTCTGCCGCATATCAGCAGGACAGAGCATACACATCAGAACAACAAGTGTCAGCATCACCAACAGCGGTCCAGAACACTGGTCCAAGGCCCAGATAATACGACAGTGAGTTCCCCAAGTGTGAGGTAAGAGCTTCACGTCCAGACTAATAAAAATTATCCGTTCCCCGGGAAGTACTAAAGCACCACACCAACAAAGTAAAGGCCACTTTGACCTTCGGAACAACATCAACCTAAAGGAGAACTCCGTTCAGTGGCATTAAAAAAATTTCATGCACTAAGTAAAGCAAGTAATTGCGAATAATATGGCAAAACTGGTCAGAATAGTAATAATATTTTAGGAGGTCAGCATTAAGATTACCTGCTGTCACAGAAACGGTACATCGTAGCGTATATTTTCTAAAAGACTCAAAAAAAGCTGTGAGTTCGTAACCCTTGACAGATACCCAAAGTAAGAGAAAGCGAAAAATTGTATCAGTTGAAAAAAATTGGAGTAAAAAGATGAAGACAAAAAGAAAATTGACTGACGTTTGCATACGTGAGTTAATTTTGCAGCAATTTTTTCGTAAGCTTGGTGTGATGCAACTATAGGAGTGCTGCTAGGTCTGTTCATCACCGCTCAACAGACAGCCCACAAATTTTAATCGTTTCCAACTAAACAAACATGATACAAATAAAAAATGTATTACATGAATTTTAAAATGCTAAAAAATGACTTCTTGCATCTACCCCTTCATTTGATTAGAGTAAAATTATTTTTTACAAGTTACCATAATATAAAAGCTTCCACTAAGTATTACTTATATTTTTCATGTATTTCGTAATGCCATTAACTGACAAGAACTTATTTCTAAAGCGATGCTTTCGGCTCTTTATAAAGGGATTAGGGATTGGTTCGTGAAGGTTTTGGGTGACCTTCAAGAACAGATACGTAATTTACTTTCAGAAATTTTCACAGGGTTGGTGTCGTGCGTAACTAAGGTTTGTATTTCAGAAGGTGTAGTTATGAATTTTTCAATTTTTCATTTGGATTTAAAGAATGTGGAATAGGAACAACTAACTAATATTAATTTTATTTCTAGTTTTGGATTTGTTGGTAGTATTGTTAATTCTTAAATTGTAACCGGAAGGCAACCAAATAGTCCAAGGAAAAGATTAAACTTTTATAGATTAACGAAGGGCTTAATAGTGTGATAAAGGCATTTTCTAGTATATCTTCGGTATATTCAGATCAGTAGAGATTTTGGAGGTTTCTCTGGTCCATTGGACGAATCTTGGGTATTTCTTTAGTACTTGGGTCCCCTTTCTCATTGTTTCACCCAGTATTGTTACACCTTACACCTTACGTTTTTTTTTTTTTTTTTTTTTTTTTTTTTTTTTTTCTTTCGTCCATCTAAACAGTTGCAATGAGTCCCTTGGTATTTTAAAAGGTTATAATAGAGTGATTGCAATATCTTTGTTTTCTCATACTTTCCTTACTAATTTTTCTTTTAGCATTTTTTCCCATCTATTAGGATTTTTTTCCATTAATCGATTATTTTGTTATTATTTAGGTATTATTTAGTTATAGGTCATTATTTAGTATGAAATTCTAACCATGCAGACGACATATTTTAACCTTATTTCATATTGCTTCCATTTTGTTGTGAGGTTTTTGTAATCCCTAAATACGGTTACATTATCGGTTTTAATATAATCGTCGTCTGTTTGGACACTTCTGACATGCTGTGAGGAGTAATAAATTCGATTCGACGTATTTGTTGCTTGTTTTGGCAGCACCTTTTTAGACTTGATGTAACTTATATAATAACGCCTGTAAGCGTTGTGTAGTTGGTTTTATGTTAAGGTTGAGTCTTAGTTGTTGCCTCCATGACTTTATTTGGCGTAAAATAAATGCGTAACTAAGTAGTATGAAGAATTCTCCTTAACTTATTTTTCTTATTTGTTGCTATAAAAGTGCTTCAATTTATAATTCTAGTAATAACATAGGGGCCTTCTTAAAGTTCCAAGAATTTTCTGATAATTACGCTTTTTAAGGACAATACTGGGTTTATTTTTATTAGTATTGTCTTTTTTTAGTCATAATTTGTATGTGTTTTCAAGTTATAATACTAATTGGCTTATATTTTGTCTTTTTCCTTCATTTTTACTTGCTGTTCACATTACTTTATTTGTGTGAGGCATTTGC